GCTGTTCCTACAAAGGAAATGTAACTCTGTCAGGAGAACTGACCAGCCTAACATGACAGAGTATATTTTTAGGAGAAGGTTTTCACACAGATATCAAGAGTCAAAACCAAACATTTTACCCTGAATATCATCGTTGAAGGTGCAATATTTCTCTCTGTATTTTCTTAGAAACCGGAAAGCATTATGATTCCCAAAGTCTTCATGTTCCTACAAAGGAAATGTAACTCTGTCAGGAGAACTGACCAGCCTAACATGACAGAGTATATTTTTAGGAGAAGGTTTTCACACAGATATCAAGAGTCAAAACCAAACATTTTACCCTGAATATCATCGTTGAAGGTGCAATATTTCTCTCTGTATTTTCTTAGAAACCGGAAAGCATTATGATTCCCAAAGTCTTCAAACTGAATAAGTGTGTTGTGGCCATACCTAAAGAATACAGGAAAATATTTTATCAACTGACACAATAAATCAAAACATTCCTATAAATACAGAGTTGTTTGGGGCCAGGTCAACTCTCTTCCTATAAATACAGAGTTGGACTCTTCATGGAAATGGCTACATGCCATCTCTGTCCTACACAAGTATAACACAGAGGACAGGAAACATGCCCGAAGTCAAACACAAAGTCATAGGCAGAACCAGGTCTAGAATTCAGGTCTGCTGATCCATCCATATTTCTGTACTTGACTGCCTTTTCTCCCTATATGACATTTGAAAAGGAAATCATGTGATGTTTTCCATGGCTCACTTCTTGACATATTTCTGAGTAACTAATTCCATTAGTACCATACCTGTCTGTAATGGCTTCCATAAACTCATCAATAAGATCATCATAAAGCTGTGAGCGGTCTCTTTTTTGGTACAGGCCCATGTAAAATGGATCTTTTAACAAGGTCTATAAAATAAACCAAGATAACAGCAGAATGAAACTACTCACTCAATACACACTCTCCAAAGTGTTAAGTAACGTATTTCAGCGACAAAACATCTTGTTAGTCTTTAAAGTGCTACACAGTTCTGTCTTCTGTTTCAGCAATCCAGAGACTGAGAAGGATTTCAGCTCTCTTTCCTTTAGTGGGTATTTTCACAGTTGAGTATCTAGCTAGCCATACTGCAGAAATCCTAGGGTTTTTTATGGCAATTCTCTGGATTTTGTTAGTCACCTATCATTTTTACTCCCTTTCTCTCTCTCCCTCTGCTTTCTTCCCCACTCCATCATACTCACTTGCTTGACCTCTAGTTGCCTTAAATGATAAAGTTTCATGTCTAGCAGAGCTTGCAACTTAACTGGAACTCAAAACAACATGCATGAATCTGAAGTATTTGTGAAAAAGAATTTTTTTGGGGGGGGGCGAGGAGAGATTAGGAAACTTGGGAAACTGGTCAAAATGAAAATGTTAATTAGCTCCTATTTATGCTATTGGCAGTCTCTCCCCCAGATGCCTAATTTGGAGAGATGTTTCAGCACCATCTTAAGTCCTCTCTTTTACAGTTTTGCTAGTAGTTACATACAAATTATTTGCTAAGACACTGGAGTATTGTTTGATGTTGCCTGTAGTGAATCCATCCTCCTGAAACAAAAAGGTCTAACTGGAAACTTTTCACAGCAGGGGCTGTGTCTTCTTCTATGTTTACACAATGGTTAACATCAGGGAGGCCCTGTCTCTGCTTGGGCATTGCTGCAATATAAATAAAATAGATAACAATACTACACTGGAAACACTATGCTTCGCAGACACAGATATAAAGGAAGAAGTTATGAGATTGGCCGATATCGATGGGCACCTGAAAACATTACATCATTGTCCTTACAAATGGGACAAATCAATATTCAGAGTAAAGGTGCTTTAAGAAATCTGGTTTGCTCTTCTAGCAGCTTTAAAAAAATCATGTCACCTTGTTCCACTGCTTTGTAGTTGAGACTAGCATTCTGACTAGCAATCCAAATGCACCACTTCACTTTATTTACATAGGGGCTGCTTCTCAGCTATTCAGTATTAAATTAAATTCCAGACGATTTAATATTACACAAAAGATAATTCAATCTTAACAGAGTAGTCATTCAGATATATATGCCCTCTTACAGTACTAAATTTCACTACAAACCACCATTAAAAGTGTTTTCTTTATGGCGGACAAAATACAGTTTAACTTACTTGATTGTCAGTACCAACGTCGATACACACAGGCAGGCATTTATCTGGCCGTATTCCAGCACATGCTGTATACAAACACAGTTTTCCTACAGGAATTCCCATTCCATAGACACCCAGATCTCCAAGACCTAGTATTCTCTCTCCATCAGTTACTACAACAGCCTTAAAATTACACAAAGAATAAAAGTAAACTTTGGTAATTGAGGACATAAAGGATAAAGCAATATTGCACAAAACTTGTCCTGGCAAAATGAAGCATTAAAACAAATTAATATTAGCATGCAAAAAATTTATTCTCTCTAGTGACACCACTTAAGAACTAAGAGCAAATACACAAGGTTACCTCAGTATCTGCAGTGTTCCCCTTTACTTGTCTAAGGTGATCACAGGAATCACCTATCTTGCTGCAAATCAGTGGTCTCCAACCTTTGTACATCCAAGATCACTTTTTAAATCTCAGAACAGGCGAAGATCTACCGCCACGCCCCTTCCTTGAAGCCCCGTCCTCTCTATTCTCCTCCTGTCCATCACTTGCTGTCCCCAGCCCTTACTGACACACACTTATAAACAGTTTATTTTTAAATTATGCAATACATACAATTAAAATCAGGTGTTTATAGTTATGAAATAAATGGTCTGTTTTTTATTCATGCTATTTAAATCTAAAATGAAGCATTTATAATTATACATTTTGTGGGGACAGAGTTCTGCGGCTGGGGGCAGGGGAGAGGGAACAGGGTGCTGGGAGGGCAGAGGACAGGGTTCTGCAGCAGGGGACAGAGTGCCAGTGGGGACAGAGTTCGGGAAGTGGGGACGGGAGTGGGAACAGAGTTCTGAAGGTGGGGACAGGGGAATTGGGACAGAGTTCGGGGAGTGGGGACAGGAATGGGTACAGAGTTCTGTGGCTGGGGCCAGGGGAGTGGGGACAGCATTCTGTGGCTGGGGAGTAGGGGCTGGGGAGAAGGGATGCCAATGGAGGCAGAGAGTCCCCTGCATCTCCCTCCTCCCAGGATTCTCCCCTCCCCTCAGGGAAACCAGCGCGTGCCTGCCCCGGGGCCAACCCCACCCCCCGGCCGGGACACCCCCCCGCACCTCCCTGGGCGGGGGGCAGAGGACAGGGTTCTGCAGCAGGGGACAGGGGAGTGGGGACAGTTAGGGGAGTGGGGACAGCGTTCTGTAGCTGGGGACAGAGTTCTGTGGCTGGGGACAAGAGAGTGGGGTCAGCGTTCTGTGGGTGGGGAGTGGGGTGCCAGTGGAGGCAGAGAATCCCCTGCATCTCCCTCCTCCCAGGATTTCCCCCTCCCCAGGGAAATCAGCGCGCGCCTGCCCAGGAGGCCAACTCCCTGGTGCAGGGAAACCCGGCACCAACACCCCCCCCACACAGGGAAGCCCCGCGCCCATGCCTGCCCCAGGGCCAAACCCCCCCCCCCCACGCATGCGCCGGGAAACCCCCTGCACGCCTCCCGTGGGGCTGACTCACCCCTCAAGGTAAGTAGTGGGGCTTCTCGGGGGTGGGAGGGAAATGGGGGTGGGGCAGACAGGATGCCTTGCGAGCGACTGGTCAAGGCCTCGCAATTGACCAGAAGCTCGCGATCGACCTGTTGGTGATCATGGCTGTAAGGCAGCTGACAAGTTTTTAAATACCATCACTGTAAATATACTTTGTACTTCCACTGGAGGATCTCAAAACACTTTCCAGTAACTTTAATGGATTTAACCTCAGAACACTTCCTCAATTTAAAAAATGAGCAAACAGACAGAGTTTTGTTCAAGGTTGTACAAAAAGTTTGTGGCAGAACTGGGAAGAGAACCCAGGTCTCCCAATTTCCAGTTCTATCCCTTAACCCTAAAAACAACCACAGCAGGTACTTCAGAGAAAGATGGGCATACTAAGAAACAAACCTCAAAAGCCTCACCAAATCGAACAGTCATTTGTCAATTTTATTCTAGATCGTGAGGGACCACAATTGGCATAGGAAACACTGCTGATCTTCAGTTTTCATGCTGTAGATCTTGAATGCTAAAGCTTGGATTTAGAGCAGTGTTTCTCAAAGTGGTCCACGAAACCACTCTGAGAAACCTGCTAATTGGCTGATCTGGAATGTCTATTTATCAGCTCAGCAGCCACAAAGCCTCATGGCTCCCATTGGCTTCATTTCACTGTTTGCAGCCAAAGGGAGCTGTGGGAAGCAGCATGGGCCAAGCCCCCCTTGGCTACAAATGGCACACTGGAGCCAATGGGAGCTGTGAGGCTCCGTGGCTGCAAAGCCAGTAAATAAACACACTGGAGCGGCTAGTTAGCAGGTTTCTCAGAGTGGTTTCGCGGACCACTTTGAGAAACACTGATTTGGAGTACTACTCCACACATCTGGATGCACATAACTGTTAAATATGATATAAAGCTATCACTGTCATACAATTGCCCTGAATGCATTATTTAGCACCAGCATATCTCTCCATAAAACTATCCACTTTTTTAAAAGATGAATTGGGATTCAAAAAGAAAAAGACAATTAGAAAAAGGAGTACTGTGGCAGTAATACCTTAACATCAGTTTCTGGCCAGTTGTCCACAATTGACCTGATATGACCTCTGTCTGAGATAGAAATAAACAATCCTCTGAAACAAAATCAGAATGGAAACACTTTTATATCTGATAATTAAAACTTTAAGATCGTGTTTTGCAAAGCAGAATTGAAGACTACATTTTTTGTTTAATTAATTCTAAGTTATGCAAATGTTTACACAAAATAATATTAAAAAGCGATAAAGAATTAGTGTTATAATTAAGTCTATACAACCAAGATAACATACTGGATTAAAAACATAACTGTAGAGTAATACAATTGTTCACAGGAAAACCTGGATTCTGTACTGCCATGAGTCAGTCTGAGTCACACACCCAGGTCAAAGTGACCCTAAAGCTTGTGCCAGCAGCCATGGCAGTATGACACATCTCCCAAATAGATGGCAGATCAGTATAGAATTGGTTCATCAATTCTTCTGCCACCCACTTCCCTGCACATGATGCAGGCAGTAGTTGGAAGAAGGGGGCATGGCTAGAGCTTCCTTATGGCCCACTGAATTCTGGCTGCCATATCAGCCACTGACTTAACTCAGAGCTGTTTTCAGGCTTTTTTAAATGACAGGTGGACTGGCCAAACCTAGCAAACATCTGGTCCAAGATCAGAAGAATGAAAAAGTCAGCTTTATGCTACCATCATGAGCTAAGCACTCCTTAGCCACAGACAAAGAGTGAGCCTTTTACTTTCAATATACCGAAATCTGCACATTAAAGTTTGCCATATAAATTCTGAATTGCAGGAGAAATAAAAATCATGCTTAAGAAAATTACTTGCACTTATTTAAAAAATAAAATTACTGGCCTTACTTTGGTCTCCTAAAGATATGTCCATATTGGGAACAGGCTAAACCTACTGTTGGTGTATAAACTATTGGCATTAATCTCTCAATATCATCCTGTAATATCCTGTAAAATAACTTTTCATTTCGCTCTTGGATTCCCATTATGTAGATATACCTGTAATCAAACAAGAAAACAAAGCAAAAGATTAATTAGGTTAAAATGTTTTGCATCTATCTATATAGAAACATATAGCATGAAATGTCGAGGCATGAACCAAAATGCTTTATTTTTTTTTCTAGTTCATGAATTTCCTTCTCTGACCTAGCCTTGAAAAATTGATGTAAATTGGAGAATATACAATTAAACAACAACATCTAAGTACAAATATTGGATAATATACTGAGCTATGTATAGTAACACACCAACCTTTCCATATACACTATGATAGGAGATCAACCTCCCCTCCCCTTTCACAACTGATTTGCACTGTAAAGGTTGATTAATTTTCTTGGGGCTCCTAATGTTAGGATTTCCTATCATCGTTCTTTTTTAAATGAAAAGTTTCCACATTGTGAATTTTTGAACACTAACCAGAATCTCACGTAGGTCCTATGATAAACAAAGGAGTATAATATACTCTCGTGAAGTCATTCTGCCGCTCTACTCTGCACTAGTTAGGCCTCAGCTGGAGTACTGTGTCCAGTTCTGGGCGCCACATTTCAAGAAAGATGTGGAGAAATTGGAAAGGGTACAGAGAAGAGCGACAAGAATGATTAAAGGTCTAGAGAACATGACCTATGAAGCCAGGCTTCATGAACTGGGCTTGTTTAGTATGGAAAAAAGAAGATTAAGGGGGGACATGATAGCAGTTTTCAAATATCTAAAAGGGTGTCACAAGGAAGAAGGAGAAAATTTGTTCCTCTTGGTTTCTGAGGACAGGACAAGGAGTAATGGGCTTAAAGTGCAGCAAGGGAGGTTTAGATTGGACATTAGGAAAAAATTCCTAACTGTCAGAGTGGTCAAAGACATTAGGAAAAAATTCCTAACTGTCAGGGTGGTCAAATATTGGAATAAATTGCCAAGGGAGGTGGTGGAATCTCCCTCTCTGGAGATATTTAAGAACAGGTTAGATAGACATCTGTCAGGGATGGTGTAGATGGAGCTTGGTCCTGCTTTGAGGGCGGGGGGCTGGATTCGATGACCTCTCGAGGTCCCTTCCAGTCCTATGATTCTATGATTCTATAATGACATTTAATTGTGCAAAAGAAACATTTCATTTGTTCTAATATATGATGGTTGAAAATGGATTTTGGATTTAAGATACAATTTGTAACATGCATAGTTTAGAATGGAAACAAAGTAGCATTCTCCAGATGTTTTTTCCATAGTCATCTGAGGTCAAAATGGAAGTTGGAATACAAAAATACAACATTAATTCAGTTCATTAGGGGTTTGATTCTGCAAACACCACAGATTTTAAATATTGAAATATAAACCCTTGTATGTTTTCTTTATTGCAGTTTAGATTCTAAAGAGATTTGTAAGGGTTCATTGGGACAGTCCCAGAAGTATTCCTAATGAAACTATTTCATTGTTCCATTCCAACAGACTATGTGATATGGATTCAAGTTACCTTGTTTTATTATCAGTGGACGCAGTAGGAATCTTGATGTGGTCCTAATGTAAATCAACGATAAGCCCCAAGTCATTTTAGCTTTACACTCACTGGCTTTTAGAATATTGCATCCTACTATAAATCAACAACAATATGACAAAAACTTCACGCTAATGCAACCAACAGGAGAAGCCTTTTAAAAGGAAAAAGTATTTTCTAGGCTAGAGAGTTAAAAATAAGAAAAAATGCCAAAGGACTAATCATTAAGTGCCTCTGAATTGTCAAAACTAGGTATGTAGGAGACTAGTCAACTATCCAATAAGCAGAAGTTTATTGGATAGTTGACTAGTGATTGACTAGTCACCTCCCCCCCTTGATGCCTCTATCAGCAAGAGGGAGCAAGTGGGGGGTGGTGTCTATGGAAGGAGCAGAAGCAGGTGCTGGAGAAGCCAGCTTAAAAGCTAGTTCATCCCCAGCACCATCTCTGCGGGGGGCAGGGGAGGTAGAGGCACAGCTTAAATAGCATGAGTGGGGACTGAAGCAGTCTGGTTCTGCTGCGATTCTGCTTTTGAAAAGCATTTCAAAGCAGAAGCATTTCAAAAGTATTTGAAAAGTAGAAGCCCCACAGAGAGCTTGGGGCCAGTTCCCCGCTGGTCCTGAGCTCCCTGCGGGGCTTCTGTTTTGAAATGTACAAGAACCCTGCCAAGGCTCTTGTACATTTCAAAGGCTGAGGCACTGCAGGAAGTGCGGGCCAGCAGGATGTCCCCTCTCCCTTCCCCTTCTTCCTCCCCATGCTCCCTGCAGGGTTTTCTTGCGCTTGTACATTTCAAAAGGTAGCCCTGCGCTCCCTGAGGGACTTCCGCTTTTGAACTGTAGCAAGAGCCTGGTAGGGCTCTTGCTACAGTTCAAAAGTTGAGGTGCCCTTAGAGACTAATCAAATAGTCAATGGAAATTCCATCAACTATTCAATTAGTTAACTCATCTAAATTTAACATCTCTAGTCAAAACACCTTTTATTTCCTTTAGACATGACACAATTAAATACTTTATTGTTTCTATGTAATTTTAAAGTCCCAAATTGATTTTCTTTCCCCACATTTTTCAAGGAATTTCTACAAAACTCTGAACAAATTACATATCTAGAACCTGCCACTCAACTCATCCATATTGTAAATTCCTAAAACTTAACAGAAGTGTCGCCAGACATGTAATCGTAATACTTCCATCAAGATGCTATAATGCTAAGGCCTGACCCTGAAATTCTAACTGAGACAAATCTCCTCTGGAAGTAAACAGAAGGTTTGCCTGAGCAAGTACTGCAAGACTGGACATTTCCTTTAAGTATATTCTTTTCCAAACCTCATTACAATTATGGAGTAACACACACATCCCCCTGTAAGGCTATGTCTGCATTACAGAGTTTTTCCGGAATACTGGAGGTATCCCGGAAAATCTCTGCTGCGTCCAGGGAACGCATCCGCTTTTTCGGATCAGTTTCTGAAAAAGCGGGCGCATTCTTTCAGAAGCCCTTTATTCCTCATTTTGTGAGGAATAAGGGCTCTTCCGACATTTGGCCCCATGTAGATGGGCCAAATGTCGGAAAAGCCTCTTCTGAAAAAAGAATCAGAAAAAGGGACGCAAAGTGTGGCTCGCAATTTGCGTTCCTTTTTCTGAAAAAGAACTGCAGTGTAGACATAGCCTACACACAAATCAGCACAAAACATAATTAGCAGCACAAGTGTGGGTGATAAATATAGTTTGTGTTACTTTTACATATAATCTGTCAATTATAAAACCCGCTGGATGCAAAAGACTTGCCTTGATATTATAATAAAATAGATTGTCTCAAGAGTCCTTTAAGCTTGCACTAAACATAGGTAAGAAAAATATTAATTCTTACTTTTCCAAGGGGTCACTCATTTTTGCCAAATTCTTATGGAAGCGTAAGGCTTGAATGTCTTGTGTCTCTATTTTAGGAGGTAAAAGCCCTTGTAGCCCAAGCATTTGTCTTTCCTGTAGTGTAAAAGCCATGCCCTGAAAACAAAAAAGGGGAAAAAAAGTTATTTTATTATTTATTGTTTATCTGCTAATACAGGTATTTTGTTTAAAATTTAAATGTATCTCTATGACTATTCATTTCTATGATGTCCATCACTACAGTTTCTAAGCATCTCACAAATTTTAATAAATTGAGCCTCACTACACTGGTAAGAAGGAATCTGTATCCCCACTTTGCTGTTGAGGAAACCAAGTCACAGTGAAGTAGTTGAGTTCTTGGGCAAATCGTTTAAATCGGTGCCATGAACAAACACAGAACCCAGATCTTTTGCCTTCCAGTTCTGTGCTTTAATCATCTGCACATATATCCTCCTTCAGAGCACCTCTCTCCCTCACTGCATATGCAGAGGGAGATTGCTTTGAAGATATGTTACTTGAAGTGTTACTTGCTTCTTGAAATGTTCCTTTTGTCAGGAAAATTTCCCTGCACACTTCTGATAATTTATGTAGCCAAAATTTATTTGCACTGCCCTCACATCTCTGTTGGGATAGACAGCATCTCAACATGAAGCCTTACTTTTTGTTAAAGATAAAACTGATCCTTAATTTCTTCAACTATAATCACCTATTACAAAAAAAAGCTTTAGCTTCCTCCATCTGTTGAAACAAATTAAGTTTATGAAGGAAAAAAAAGATATAAAACATCTTTAGTTGTACTAATCTCAGATGCATACAAATGTCTATGAGTCCTTAAAACATTTTACTCCTTTAAGAGTAAATGATCTTCCTGATATTTTGCACAGACAACTCTTGGGGTGTATCTAGACTACATGGCTCTGTCGACGGAGCCATGTAAAGTAGTTTACCCAACATAGTCAATGAAGTGGGGATTTAAATAATTCCCGCTTCATTAAAATAAAAATGGCCGCCGTGCTGTGCCGACAAACAGCTAATCCAGCACAGTGCAGCATTCGAGACGCGGATCGGTTGACAAGGCAAGCCTTTGTCGACCGTTCCTGTAAACCTCATTTCATGAGACAGAAGGGAGCCGTCGATGGAGCCATGTATTCTTGACACACCCTTGCAGGTGAAATTCAAAGTATTTTGGTTAATTCTGCTAGTTGTTGTTTGGTTGGACTTAACCTTCAGGCTGATAGATTTATTGATAGTAAATTATTTATTGAATTTACCTTTTTTTTCTGTTCAAGAGTCATTTGGAAACAGATCCTGATTTCTGCAAATGTACTAGTTTTTCCTCAAGCATTCAAATATTTTATGCAAACAAATTTAAACACAGTTTACTTATTAATTGTTCACTTTGACTAGCTGTAATTTTGTTATTTTAAGACTAAATTCAGCATTTTTTCTTTTCACTCCCTATAGAATACTTTTAATACATTCCATAGAAGTAAACATACCCTGGAAAGTTATGTGAAAACAAGCTATGCAAGTATATACATCAGATAACCACTGTTTTTCTGATGTACCTCATTAATTCATTACTGTGCAGCAGTTCATGTTCTATTACATGACCATCCCTCAAACTCCACATTTATCATCAAAAGAACAGGTGCAGAATCTGAAATTAACTGACAAACAGTAACAATATTTTCACCATATTTTAGGCACTACAAAAGTAAAAGAAACATGAAGATTCCTGATGAAAGGAAAAAAGCACAATCTACACTTCAGAAGGTATAAAAAACATGGTTGAATAACACCTTTAATGTCTAGCCAATTTACGCTGTAACCCTACAGTATATTTAGCTGTGCTATAGTAGTCCAAGCTAATATTTTATCCATAAGCATGCAGCAGTATTCCACCATGAAAACTACATTATCTCTGTCAAAGTTCTTGGTTAGGCCCCTTAAAACAATTTACATAATTGCTACTGATACCTTAAATACTTTGTCATGACATTCTCTTAATTCGCCTGTGTAACTGAATCAATGACCACAAGTTTTCTGGTTCCTTAATAAAAAGCTCATGGCTTGTTTAATATACAGTATATCCTTGTGGTGGATATATACCCTTCATGTGACTTGCTTTTTTTTTCTCTTTCACTTTCTGCCTTTAGACATCCTAGAAGTTCAGTGTTGCTTGAGTTGCTGTAGTGTTAACACGTTGGAATTTATTTTTCAAATGACACTACAATTTCCCACATTGTGTATCTGGACAACTCAAATGAGTCGATCTCTGAAGCCAATGATACAATACTTCAGCTGTTTCTCCTACTGGACCTTTCTCCTCCTTCCCACCTCCCCAAATCAGGATGTGACCATATCCAGCCTAGGACACCATTATCAAGATTCTCCAGGGACCTGCCTTCACTTGTTTTCTCTCAGATAGCATGCTTTTTGACTAAACCTTTCCCTTCCTTTCCTAATCTCATCCTCTCCTCCTTACAAATCGCCTCACAAGTGATGATTACCCTCAGTCCACGGTAATTTGAATAGGAGCAGAAGAGCCTACACATCTCTTAGCACTCATTCCCTGAGAGTCATTTTCTCTACTTAACCACAGCCTCTCTCCATTTGTTTGAGGTGTCCTTCTCCACTGCTCTCTCCCTTGACTTTCACCTCCATTAGTGTCCTAATCCTCTTTCCAAGAGATCCAAGAGCATCCTTTCAAGACTGTATGCCCAGGGCAGGAACTGTTTTCTTCCTGTGTAATGGAAATCACCTCACACAGCGGCGGAAACCACAATCTAACTAGTCTTCTACCGATCATTACAACATACTGCTTCAGAACCAAAAGCAGCACTTTGTTCTCTTGTTGAGACCCATCTAGTGAATCCACGGGCACATCTGTGCATTCTGTACTGTGCCTTAAATCCATAAACTCTTTGGCATAGGAACCTGTTCATACTCTGGCCTTTCTATCTGACAACTCCTACGCTAACCGAATGGTGATGTACAAGTGAGCCTTATTACAATGTACTCATCCGCTCACATGAAGGTGACCAGGTAACAAGGTTCCCAGTAAATTGTGCCCCTGCATCGGTGCGCAGCTCCTTTCTGAGTTCTGCACAGAGGTTCAGAGCTCCCACACAGGCAGGGAGCTCAGCTGACCGGCTAAGGAAGGTGGGGGCGGGACATTTACCCTCTTGGAGGAGCAGAAGCAGCAGCAGCAGATGCTGCTGCCTGCTATAAATAGAGAAGCTGGCTCCAGCCTCTACTACAGGGCTGGGCAAAAATGATCTGTAGGCTGGATCCTGCTGCGAGAGCCTCAGCCATTTCCCTGTCTGCCCCACACCCACTCAACACTCAGGAAAGCTAGGTGCAGGGCCATGTGTGAGTTTCTGAACGCTGAGCGCCTGGAGGGAGGGAAGACAGGCTTCTCATGCTGCCCCTGTCCCCAGTAGTTCCCATTAGCCAGTTTCAACCAATATCAGCTGCCTGTTTGCAGAAGAGGCAGCATGTGAAGTGCCCCTCATCCCCAGGGGCTCACAGCATTCAGTTTAGAGCAATAAACATGGCTCCTGCAGCTCTCCTGAGTATGTACAGGGGCTGAAAGGCAAGGACCCTGGCTAAGGAACCTGCTGGGCTACTGGCTTGGATCTAGGTAAGGGCACCCCCTCCCCCAACCCCTTGCCTCCCTTCTGCCCTCCTACCCCATCCCATGTAACCCAAACCTTCTGCACCCCACACCAGCCCCCAGTCACCTTCCCAGACACTGCATCCCCTCCTACACTCCTCCTTGGGTCACAACCCTCCCCCCCAAGACAGACTTTGCACCCCAATCTGCTATCCCTGGTTACAGCCCAAATCCCTGCACCCACGCCCTGCCACCCAGCCCCCACTCTCCAAGTCACAACCCCATCCTAGGCCCTGCACTGCTCCTTACTCCAGTCTGTTGCCCCAGGTCATGATCCCCTACTTCACCCACACTCCCTCTCAGATCCCACACACCAATCCTTTATCCCAAGCTCCCTTCTGCACCCAACCTCCATCCCACATGCCCACACCTCCTCCATTAATATAATGGAAGCGTGTGGCCCTTGACTACTTACCAAATTCTTGGAGTGGCCTCCCAATCAAAAATTATTGCCCACCCCTGTGTTAATGGCTTAAGGTAAGAAAGAAAAAGATTCTTTTAACAGAATTTTTTTGAGAGTTGCAGAGAACTAAAACTCTGATGTTAATGATTTTTTTAAAATTCTGTGTTACTAATTAATACATGGTAAATTGTGTTGCATTAAGGCCAGATCTTTGCTATCTGGTAGAGTTCTGGCTCTCATGAGTCAGAAGCAGCAAGTACTAGGTGTGATGCTAGTTGTTTTGTAGGATGAAATCTTATTTGCAAGATCTATGAAACATGCATCTGTGTATTAGAAAGGATGAGGACGTATGTTCTCCAAGGTCTCAGAGGGGTAGCCGGGTTAGTCTGTAACTAAAACAAACTTAAAAACAATGGTTCTGCGGCACGTTAAACCAACAAAAATATATAAATAGTATTATAAGCTTTGGTGGGCACAACCCATTTCTTCAGCCAAAGGTAGTGTTAATTTTATTTTTATTTTATTTCATATTAAATAATCATAAGCATTGCTCCTTGATAATTATCTCTTATTTTAAATATATTTTCTTCCACACACATGGACTATTTAAAATATATATTTATATCTATGGTTTGTTTGTACTGGTGGGTGCACATTCACATGCTACCTCAATATTGGTGTAGCGCATAAGAAATTTCAACCTACCCAAAAGAAAATTCAACCTACCCAACGATGGAAAATCTTAGAGGGACCACTTCCAGGTAAGCAAAATTCTGCAAAATGGATGATGTTAAGACCAGTAGGAAAGAAGGGTTGGCATTTTTTTAGCAGGAGGGAGGAGAATGGAGGAAACCAATATGTGAAAATATACTGATTTTTTTAAATTATTACCAGTCGTAATAATTTGGTTGGGTGAATACATTTTGTACCAGGGCTGATAAATGTTCATGACCATTTTGCAAAATTAATATAAATAATTATTATTAATTATAATTCATTTAAAGTTTCTGATGATGTGTAAATGCAGGATGCACCAGACCTTCGTTAAACTCTCATTTTCTAAACCTGGTATTTCTTCCAAAACATAAAATAAAAGCCTCTTTAGATTTAGTAGCTTAATATCACAGAGAGCTCTCATTTTACTATTAAACTACTTCCATAAAATTTTACTACACATTAATATAGTTTAAAATATTCTCATTAAAGATAAAACTCAGTTATACTTATCAGAATGGATGACTACAGCACATTTTGTGATGAATAGTGTATTTTTGTGTCATGAGTGGGCTGTTCCTCAGTTCCTCATCTATCAAAAGCAGGTAATAGCACTTCCCTACCTTCCAGGGATGCTGTACGGATGAATCCATTAAAATTATGAAGTGTTTTGAGATCTATTGATGGGAAGAGCTATAGAAGAACTCGGAGTCATGTGCTTTAATTGTGCTTGGCTGTTTACTTGCTAACTCATAAAGTTAATTTTCCACAACGTCTCCAGTCACCAGTGCAAATTAACACAGTTCATTCATATGAATGAAATGCCTATTTTATGTCTCTCATAACTCTTATGATCACAGTTGATTGGTCACATAAATACAACACAAGAAGTATGAATTTCCTGTTATTTCCTTACTTTCCCCATATTTTTAAACTTAATTTAGTGCTTGTGGAGAGCACTGACTCGACAACAGTGATTGTTGCAGATGATATAAACCAACAGCAACACTACAGGTACTGTAAGCTTTCCTGACTTTCCCATCAATGTACTTCACACCCTGACATGAAACTACCAGCTAATTTGGTCTGTGCCCAATGCTTGACCTTGCTGGTAAGACCAGAAGCAAGAATACAAACTGTTATTGTTCCAAATGTCCATTTGCTTGGAACTAGGTGCAAATCACAGATCTAATTCTCAAAGGCCACTAAACAGCCATCAGATAGCCAGGAGTAATTCTCATTAATGATCTAGGTTGAATATGAGCCAGTCACTTAGATGCTGAAGTCTCTGCCTACCAGCACTGATCACCTGAGCCACCCAGGTCCCTAGCACTTATTTTTAAGCACACACTAATTTGGCAAAGCTGAAAATTACAAAGCTGAAATCACTAGTATGATGGACTGTAATTGTTCATCTATCATTTCATCTAGACTGTGCACTGTCACTAACTGACTCAGTTGGAGAGACTTTGTTAAACTGCAGCTCTTCTAAATGAACTAAATGAACTGTCTTGGCTAGGGTTATTGTCTCTTGAAACACTCAAAGGCATCACACATACAAAAAGTTCAGTGGCTTTGAGGAACATGGCTGAATTAAGGTCTGTAATGAGCAGTAAGTAGGGCTGCCAGATGGCTGAAACAAAAATACCAAACACTCCCCACCCCCCCTAAAAAACCCACCGGGAAAAAATTCTGTTGAAGGGGGAAAAAAAGGGGGGGAAGGGAAAGGAGACCAAAGTTATTGAGCCAAAAAAAAAAACAGCATTAAAAGAGCATGTTCCCTTTAAGAGCTAGTGCAGGGATAGGAACAGGGGAGCTGTTGAGCACTAAGACCCAGGGGAAGCATTGCTTCCCCTAGGTCTTTTGGCTGGCAGCTATTTTGTGCTGGCAGCCTTGGGGAACCAGGTAAGCAGGGCTTGCCAAGCAGCGGCAAGCCCTGCTCGCCAGCCGCGCGGTTTCACGTGGTTCTGCATTCTGCACATGCACAGATCACTCTGCACCGGCTCTTTCGGGTTGTAATCTACTCGCCACAGGCGAGTAGATTACATTATTTGTCAAGCCCTGCAGGTAAGCATGGGGACTGGGGTCGGGAGGTGTCGGGAGCCGGGGGGTGGGGGAGGCAGGCGCTGAGTGTTTGTAGGGTTGCCAGGTGCCCGGCATTTTTACCTCCCAGTTGGGACTCCCAGCCGTTCCCCCCCGCCCAAGTCAGGCTTCCGTCCGGTGCGCAGCTGGAAAAAAATCAGAAAATACCGGACATTGCACATATCCGCTATTTTCTGATTTTTTTATACCGGATAGAACACACAAATACCGGACACCTGGCAACCCTAGCAGTAAGTCTGACTCCTACCTACGTCTTTTGACATGTTGAGCACCTTTCTCAAACAGAAAATGAGAACATTTAGGTCCCTTCAAGAACAGATAAAAAATCCTCAACCCAACAGAGGCCATTGTTAAACTTCGACTGCCAGTATGTTTTTAATCTCTTGAATAATCTAAGCACCTACTAAACAATCCTTGTTATAATTCTTATCCTCCCCAATCTCTTGGCCTGCATCCTTGCCTCTTTGCTTATACTTTGAGTGTAAGCTCTTTGTGGCAAGGAGCTTCTTTTTATATTGCCTTTCTGCACTGCCTAGCATAATGAGACCTAGGTACCTGACTGATGGTGTGAGGCGCTATCACAATTTAAATAGTGAATAACAACTTTTATAGTTGCCTACAGTAAACAAATGTATTTGGGTAACTATATTCCAAGCAGCAAAGACGCTTCCATATTTTACACAGCAATTAACTCTGCCATAACAAAAGGCCTTTAAACGTAATTCATGTTAATTGGAATCCTTGTCATACAGCAGCTCTGCAAAGTCAATCATGGAAGAATGCAAAGATAGTTACTGTACGTTCTGCAATTGTTTGGTTGATGTGACAAGGTCATTACCAAAATAGCTTCTGACCTTTTTGGGGCTGCTCTGACAATAGAACTTGAAAGCTGGATTTTGAAACAAACAACTTCAGTTAATTTATGCATTTAGCAGCTGTGGGAACCAGTTCCTGGGCAAAAAGGTAAGATCAAATAAATGTTTGTGCTTGCCACGCAGTGAAGCAGGTGCAGGAGTTCTGGGGTGGGAAGTTAAATGGTCACAAAAGGTGAGGGGGATTGGCTCTGAAATGTCATAAACTGGCATCTTAAAGCTTTTAATGTCATTAATCCCCGTTATTTTGGGTTCCAACCCCCAAATCCCATGTGTTAAGGGAGATTAAATAACATAAGTGAATGAGAATGCAACACAAATAGACCTGCCAACAAAAGATCCTATAATGAGATGACAATCTCAGCAGTTTCACAGCAATGGATACTGAATCTGTTACTATCCATACATTGGGTGCAACAGTGCAGTTTTTCCTCACACCAGTCCAGTCAAAGCTCTCATTTCCACTACAACAAAATGACTCATTTGTCTGAGTCATTAAAACACTGATACAGTGAATAAGTGCGACAACAAACTTCTTCCCTTTAAATATTGCACTCTGCCCGGTTATCATAAAACAGCATCCTTCTGAAATAAAATTTAGAAGCTACTGCCACAAGCAATTGTGTAGGCAGTGCTTGAAAAAGCTTGAGAGCTTTGAAATAATTTCTACCGGTCTGCCAAAAGCTTTGAGCTCTGAGAAGTCACACGACTTGGTATTCAGAAAAGTCATACAATTCTACTAAATCACTCTCCATTCCGTCTTCACTTTCTACATGATTTAGCAGGCACTGAAGATCTCTATTTGTCTACATATTTATACAGCTCTCAGGCTCGAGCATCTGACTAAATCATATAAATCGATGTAAGCAGTCTGAACACTAACATATGCGTTTGTCTTCTCTCCCTCCTTTCAGGGGTAGTTAGAAGTCACTCTTTATCTCTCACTATTCTTTTCTCCACCATTCTAGGAACAGCAGAGTAATGAACTTTTCCCCTCCTACTATGGGTAGGAGACAACAAAGAGATGGGTTTTATATTTTTCCCAAAGCCAGTCAGGTTTGTGATCTTCCTCATCTGTTACAGAAGGAAATGTTTAACCTTAGACCAGCTGCCAAAAAAGACGGGGGTAATGGGAACTTAAGACAACCTAACTTTTGAGAGTTTTGCTGTCCTCGTGGATTGCAGCTGTCCTGAAAAATTTCCTTCTGCAGTTAAAAGGCTGTTTTCTTAGGGTGAATTTCCTCCCCTGTGCAGAAGGCCAGCACAGTGTTGATGGACAACTTAAGTCCCACCTAAACCCTGTCTTTTGCTGGCTCTCATCATAAGGGTGTTTCACACTGAAATGACTTATTTACAGCCCATGACAGTAATGAAGGACTTAGAGAGTTAGAGGTTAATACTTGGAAAATGGAATTCAAAGCTGCTATCATAGACATAAAATATTGGCTTTGAGCTTTAGTGTTTCTTGCAATACTAATATCAAGCTGGAATTAAACTAAGAAAAAGCAAAAGGATAGTCACAACGATGGTATTTTTAATTCATGATAGAGGATGGGAATATAAATGAAAATGTAATGGCATTGGAAATCAAGGATATGTAGGAGAGATAATGGCAAAAAATCTTTGTTGCTAGCCCTGATATCATAGTTCTGCAATACTGAACTGTAAATCATCACTGAATCATTAAGTCTTTTCTGGCACTGATCCTGCACTGAGGAGAACAAGTTCATGACCTCACATCAGTATAATTTTCAATTCCGGAACAAGGTCCCTCTGGAGATAAGGTGTTTGATAAACGCACACTACTAACCTTGTTTGTTCTTGGATTTAACATCAGAGGCTTGCCTTTTTCTTTGGTGTGCACGGTGCGACATGCCAAAACACAGGGAGTGGCAACTGCTCTTAATCGGGAGAGCATTTCTTATAGTTCACCTAATAAAAAAGGAAATTTAAAAAATTCAGCTATAAACATGCTTATCCACGTGTACACATTTCTGTGCCTGTTAACCAGAGAAGAAGAAATAGATACACATCAGATAGTGCTAGCCTGGGGACTCCTAGGCTTATAAGCAATCATATTTTGTGGCAGCCAGTAAGAAGAAAGTATCTTTGTGGAAGGGGACACATGGCGGAGTCTCACAGCAGTCCTGATGTGTCCATACTGCATTACACAGATCTTTTGACTTGGGTCCCTGGCTTGTGCTGCATGCACACTGCAAAACAACAGGGCCTGCGTAACCACCACCAGGCAGATTTGAACCTGGAACCTTTGAAGCTTAGTATAGGAGCCTCTCTACAGCTTGAGCTATAAAGCCACCTTGTACTCAGCTTAGGCTGTAGAGCTCCCTTGTTTTTATCTCTCGCTGGAAGTTGTCTAAATGCCACTACATGGGACAGGGAACCACACTAGGTGTGTGGGGTACACCTGGACCAAGTGTCAGTGGGACTTGGGCTCTGACTCACCCCCCCGTCAGAATCCTGGGACTCAGATCATGAGTGCTTGCTGAACCAAAACAGAGAGATTTGCAAGTGGACAGAAATGGTTGCTGGGTTCAAACCTGAGTCAGAGCCATGGCTTAGGGTAAGTCTAGATTACTACCCTCTTTCGATAGAGGGATGTAAATTAGACACTACAAAATTAAAATGAAGCCGGGATTTGAATTTCCCGTGCTTCATTTGCATATTCACATCATGGCGCTCTTTTGAAAAAGCGCTATTTTGAAAGTAAAACCACGGTCCAGACGCGATTCTTTCGAAAATAGAAGCCTTTTTCGAAAGATCCTGTAAACCTCATTTTTGAGGTCTCTTCCTTATTAATTTCAATTTCATCCCATTTTTGAGGTTTACAGGATCTTTCGAAAAAGGCTTCTATTTTCGAAAGAATCGCGTCTGGACCGTGGTTTTACTTTCAAAATAGCGCTTTTTCGAAAGAGCGCCATGACTCGAATATGCAAATGAAGCATGGGAAATTCAAATCCCGGCTTCATTTGCAATTTCAAAGTGTCTAATTTACATTCCTCTGTTGAAGGAGGGATGTAATCTAGACACGGCCTTAATGAGCAAAGTAGACATGCACCCAAGTATGTTACGAAAAATCTCCATTCCCGGTAACTCTGAGGTTCTACTGTAGCACAAAGGTACCCCTATATACACAGCAACTTGTCCTGTTTCTCAATCACTGGTCCTTTGTTCACATATTATATACTTTTCATTTTAAGAAAGCATGATTTGAAGCATATATGTGCAGTGAGCTTGTCGTAAAGTGTTGGTAGAGAGATTATTGGAAATCTTGGTAGTATTACCAAAGCATGCTGCTTTTAACAGAGTAATTCCTCACTAAACTAGGTGGTGGTGGACTAAACACAGCTGGCCTGTCACAATTAATCAGCAGTGATGACAAAAATAACTTTGTAATGAATAGGGTCTGATAAAATTAAATTTGTGCTACAAAACAGCCATCATGTGTGCACAGCAAATTCAGTTTTGAGTACAGTTTAAATTAATAAGTGGCCACTTATTTGCCATGATCACACAATTTCAAATCAATGGTCTATACAGATGAAACCAAAAATTATTTGTAATTGAAATGCAAAAGCAACACCTTTCATGAGCACTGAGTCTGGTTCCAATTGGTCAATTCCAGAGACCTTAAACAAAGAACTATAATTAAGCCAAACAAACCACCCCAGTCGCTTTCCTGTAACAGAATTCAATTACTTCACAGTGAGCACTTGTGAATAAAACAGTACTCCCTTCCCTCTTTTGAATGCAGGAAATTTAATTGTAGGTAGTGGATAGCCCAATAAAATCTGATTAGTCACTTCTTTATCTCTTTTCCCAAGGTCTCCTTTCTTATTAATTTCAATTTCATTCCCACCTCTCTTATCATTGCCCTGAAGTGACCTCCCTTCATCCATTCTCCTCAATTCACTTCCTCCCTTACAGCTCACATGGACCCCTGCATTTTAAAATCAAAGACCTATATCTTGCCCCACAAAACTTTTTGGCTTCAGTGGGACAACATACATTCAAGGGCAAAACTTAACTATGAATTTTAAAAATATAAATAAGAGCTACAGTTATTTTCTTCATTATAAAAGAGTTTATTAAGACCAACAGACCCCTTCATTTTCTTAAACCAACAGACCCACATGGGCAGAGTCAACTGCAGGATTGGGCCTCTATCATTTGGACTTGCAGCACACCAGCTTGTCCGATGCAGAAGAATCACAAGGCAGCACTAATGCCTTGTAGATAGCTTGTAAGGGGTTCTGGGAGCTTTTGTAGAGAGGCATGTGTTTTTAAAGAGAAATCTGAGTCATCTGAGAAATCTGGTTGGTACATCACAACCAGGAAGCCAATTGTGGGGAAAAAAATATAAAAAGGGAGGTTTAAAGGAAGTGAAAGCAGAGATTTAAGTAGCAGCGGAGTTGTGAACAGGGATAAGAAGAGAACACAGGAACTGAAAGAGGAATAAAAATACTGTCTAAAACCTGACTCAGCATAATCAAATTCAAAACCAGACTTTTTTCTTTTACTTTCAGTAACTGATAGTACAGGGTAGTAAGCAACAGCTCTAAACAGAAATTGTTTTATGCAACCAGGTTTGTTTCAATATGGCCAGTAATTTTTAGCACAATATTGCTTGCACCCCGTGCCACTGTATAACTGAGTCTATGTTCTTCAGCATATTGGATAGCGGTTTTCTGCAATGGAGTATCTTATCAGGAGGCATCTGGCCAGTTCAAACTAATTATTAGCATTATACAAATGCACTTATCTAGAAGCAAATGTTTTTGTTAGTACAATTATGGATTGGTCAATTTCAAAGGCTATTTTTAGGAAAATATATTCATTATACTTCTAAAGGAACGAATTACCTTCCCAATTGAGTCATGTAGTTCACAGCCAATTAAAGCAAAGTCTGTTTCAATTAACACTGAAGCTATCTGGGTCATGAATTGTAGCTTTAATACTTAGTAATATGTTTCAGCAGATTTGCAATTCATGTTCAAAGGCTTTGCAGTCATCCCCCAGTTTCAATGACAATGGATCATAAAAAATATCGCAAGTATTTCTTCCTATAGAAAATTTCAGAGTGCTGGGATAAGCAAATTTGTACAATTTCCCTAAAACATACAGAATGGACTTATGAATAACTGGAACCAGTAATAAATATTTTAAATATAGAGTGCAACCCTTAATTTAAAGGACTGAATGAGACTCGCTAAGCTTCCTCGAGTTTGCATGTGAAAACAATGTTTTATGACAAAGCACAAATTTAGCCAAACTAACATTATTTCACATAGAACAGTAGCAATTGTTTTATGAATCTATAAAATCCTGAATGGCTAAACCCTTTCATTTTCGGTTTAAATCAATTTTTATTGAAAAATTCCTGGGTTTTACAAAAAGCATTATTCTGCCTGGGTGTTTTTTTTTTTTTTTTTAATTTTCACCTTACTTTGGTATCATTCAACTATATAAAAACTTGTTTTATTTTAAAAATGCAATACATTGCCTGAGATATATATAATATGAAAATACATTTGCCTGTGTATATATACACAAAGCTGCACGTTGAAGTAAGGCTATATATAGAGCCCTACTAAATTCATGGCCACGAAAAACATGTCTCAGACCATAAAATCTGACCTTCTCCAGTGAAATCTGGTCTTTGTCTGCTTTTACCCTATACGATACAGATTTCACAGCAGAGACCAAATTGGGGATTCTGACACAAAAAGGAATTGCCGGGGAGGTGGCAAGGCTATTTTAGGGGGATTGTAGTATTGTCACTTACATTTGTGCCACCTTCAGAACTGGGCAGCCAGAGAATGGCGGCTGTGGACTGAGGGCCCAGCTCTGCAGGCAGCAGTGCAGAAATAAGGGTGTCAATGATGTTCCGTGTCATCCTTACTTCTGTGCTGCAGCTGGCGGTGGCTTTGCCTTCAGAGCTGGGATCCTGGCCAGCCGTCTCCACTCTCTAGCTGCCTAGCTCTGAAGACACTGCCATAGCCAGCAACAGCATAGAAATAAGAGTAGCAGTACAGCAGCCCTGCTACACCATAACCTTAAGACCCTCTCCCCCTCACACAACTCCTTTCTGGGTCAGGACTAAGGATGTTAAGGGGGTACTTCAAAGCAGGAGCGCTACACAGAGCCCAGGGTCAGCTGACCCCGGGGCTCCATGTGGCATTTCCATAGAACTCGGGATCAGCTGGGGAGTCCCCAGCTGACTCCGGATTCTGCATGGCATTTCTACAGAACCCAGGATCAGCTGGGGAGTCCCCAGCTGATCCCAGGTTCCGTAGAAATGCCGCGCAGAGCCCGGGATCCAGGATTCGCCTGCTGAGGATTCTTGTACATTTCAAAGCAGGCACCCACATGAAACCTGGAGTTATAGGGATCAAAGGGGAAGCACCTGCGTGGACCCAAGAATTAGCAGGACTTCCCACTGGCCCCGGGCTGCACGCAGAGTTCCAACTTTGAAATGCACAAGAGCCTCTGTTGGGGCTCTTGTACATTTCAAAGAAGGTATGTGGAAGTGCCTATCGACTAGTGGAGTAGTTGATGGAAATTCCATCGACTCCTTGACTAATAAATTAATTGATATTTAACATCCTTAGTCAGGACCCCTACAATTACAACACTGTGAAATTTGAGATTTAAATATCTGAAATCATGCAATGTACAATTTTAAAAATCCTATGACCATGAAACTTTTGATATGGCCCTAGCTTTGTATTATTCTAAACTAATAGGTCTGCATGCAAGCTTTGAAATCAACGCACATCTGAACCTACTGACAAATTACATGCCCACCACTAAAGCCGTCTCATCCATAGGACTGTTTGGAGCAGCCACCCCAGACTGCGGGGCTCAGGGCAATCTGAGGGATTACTGAGTGGGCCTGAGGCCAGCAAAAGGGG